GGAGTGACTTTTTTTGTGGGTGCTTCACCTTTTGGGAGTAAGAAATGGTCTTAGGGACTGGATTGCGATTAGAGCTTGCCCGGTGCAGTAACATACAAATAGGGTAGGGATGGGGTGCAAGCACTGGCATACATACTGCGTTCCCAGGGGTCACAGCCCATCACTCCAGGGGGCCGGCCGCCCTGCAGACCCCTGCGACTGGGTACCCGCCACCATCATTTGCGGCTGCATGTTAAGGTGCCCATCAGAGATGTATTGTCAGGGGTCCCGGTCAGCGCTGGGCGCTTTAACAGTGCGACAGGGCCCCCTGTGATGAGATGATCACTGCTGGGAGGAAGTGACTGCACGTCACCTGTCCCAGGAAGGAGGAGGGAGTCAACGTGGGAACTCTGACTCCCAACAACCTGAGCCACCACTGGACCTCAGGAAAAGTCACCCTCCGGCACCTAAAAGGTAGGAAACAGGAGAGTGACTTAAATATTATGTGTGTTTGTTTATATGTATGTGTCTGTGTCTATCTGTCTGTTTGTATGTATGTGTCTTTTTATGTATGTCTTGTGTGTGTGTCTGTCTCTGTCCATATTTATGTGTTTGTGTGTGTGTGTCTGTATGTGTCTGTCTGTATGTATGTGTGCCTGTCTGTTTGTATGTGTCTGTAGCAGAACCCCCTGGCTGTCCAACACATTTCCTTCATAATTTTTTATTTGAACATAAAAGGTTTTCGTATGGACTTCTATAACACTGTGTTCTCCAGCAGGGCGTTGTCCCAGGCACACTGCCAGACTAGTTGGAACAGGTCTGGGCTGGAAAGCCATGATTCAGTGGACCTAAAGGGACCTCCACAAAACTTTAAACACCCATAACTCCCGAACTCCTGGTCCGATCTGGGTGATTTTTGAATATGTTATTCACCCAGATCAGGGCTATCAGGTGATACCACATTTAGGGGTGTACCCTATCTATTTGGGGTACATCTAGAACTTGGGGAAAATATGTACATGTTATTTCTGTTAACAGATAAGCTGATGGGAGGAGATGTGTGGGTTGTACCTTGTACTTTATTGGTTAATGTACTAATTATTGTGGGTGTCTCCCTTGCACGGGAGGATTGCATAAAAGCAGGGGTTGTGGGATTAAAGTTCAGTTCTGCTCCTTATACTGTGTGTCGTCCAGTTATTGGGAAAGGTGATGGGATATTACTGGATTGTCTTGCTGATTGTGCTTGTTACCCTATTGGATTTACTACTTGTTCCCGAGCCATTCTAGGATACTAGCGGAAATAGGCTGTGGGAAATCAGCTCACCGCTACAGTGTCTTTGTATGTATGTCTTGTGTGTGTGTGTGTGTGTGTGTGTCTATCTGTCTGTATGTGTTTGTGTGTGTGTGTGAGTCTGTGTCTGTCTATCTGTCTCTATGTATGTGTTTGTGTGTGTGTGTGTCTGTAAGTGTCTGTGTCTATCTGTCTGTATGTATGTATGTATGTGTGCCTGTCTGTTTTTATGTATGTATGTGTCTTTGTATGTATGTGTGTGTGTTTGTGTCTGTGTGTGTCTGTCTGTATGTATCTGTGCCTGTCTGTTTGTATGTATGGATGCGTGTCTTGTCTGTATGTATGTGTGCCTGTCTGTTTGTATGTGTCTGTGTATGTATGTTTGTTGTGTGTGTGTGTCTGTCTGTATGTGTGTGTGTGTGCCTGTCTGTTTTTATGTATGTATGTGTTGTTTGTGTGTGTGTCTCTCTCTGTATGTGTCTGCCTGTTTGTATGTATGTGTCTTGTCTGTTTGTATGTATGTGTCGTGTGTGTATATATGTGTCTGCTTCTAGCCCGGTCAGCCAGGACACAAAAGGAAATGAGGGGATAAGGAGAGACACAGAGGTAAGTAAGGAGATAAGGAGAAACACACGTGTGAAGAGTGTAAGGAGCAGGGCCGTCTTTAATATTGATTGGACCATGAGCAAACAATTGCTTGGGGCCCCTGGACCCTGTTGTCCCCTTCCTGGCATACAATCAAGCCCCCCACCCCAACGCAGAGGCGGACGTAAAGTAGAGAGGGCTCTGGTGCATAAATTATTTTGGGCAAGAGGGGCTAAAAGGTAGATCCCCATCTGTCGTGCAACTACAACAATGCTTTGACAGCTGGGACTCTATCATTTCCCCATGCATGCAGGGTTGTATTTAGCACTAAGCAGTATTTGAGTGTTTGAGTGTAAGCATATTTTTGTATGGAGTATGTTTGTATCAATGTCGGTGTGTGTTTATATGTGGAGATGACATTTGAATGCAAGCATGCATTTATGTGTAGTGTTGGTTTATGAATGCACTGGTGTGTTTATATATAATTTTGTTGTTCAAAAAAAGAGGTGTGTTTATATGTAGTGTTGAAGTTTGAATGCAGGTGTGTATTTGCGTGTAGTGTTGGCGTTTGAATGCTGAGATGTACTTACAAACACACACACACTATGAAACACATACACACACAGATACACACTGTTACGGTACACCCAGGTATATGAGGGGTTAATACCATTGAGGAGGTTCCCTTTCCGAATGGAGAAGCAGCTAACGAAAGCTCCAATCAGTCGAACAGGAACCATATGAAATCCTTCACGAACCAAACAGTTGAACTGGTAAACCATACAAATCCAATACCTCCAAGGACGAGACCAAACTCGGTATTGAGGATTAGGCAGAGATCTGGTTTATTGAGGGCTACCTGCCCGGTATTTATGCAGGTTTTCCACCTGGTGGACACTCCCCTAGGAGACCAGATGGAAGACTGGGACAATATGAATACAGTGGCCAATCACAGTGGCACAAGCATAAACACTCCCCTTTAGCTGAGAAAGACCCTCCTCTCTATCCTGGAGATAACTGGGAAGTAATCCAATTATCTCCAAGGATAGAGGCTAAACTCCATTTTAGACATAGTAATAAAAATACATAAAAATCAATAACTTCAAATTACACGAATAGAATGACCACATTTAACGTATCCCCAGATAGCTTGGATCTGAGCGCACATTATTACGGACCGGCGTTTGTACGCTGGATGGCAGAGAAGGGAGGTAGGCGGCTTCAGCGGAGTTCGGGAGAAATATTTCCATCAAATCATCGACGAACACTGCTGATCATTCGTGCATCTAAGATGGCTGCCGCCTCATGGTCAGCATACGAACGACCACCACCCAGCATACCGTTGACAATTAGGAGGTGTCTGCGGTTAACCATAACGTTCTAATGAGGCCAAGAGGTTAACCAGCAGCACACTTCCATGCTGGGGGGCCGGCCGTTCGGCAGTTTGTTCGGGAGCTTGGGAAATAAACGAACGGGGGTACGGACAGGCAATTAACCGAAAAACAGACGAAACCAAAGGGGTATAGGCATAGTTCCAAGACAGAGGGATCTGTCAAACACACACACATAAACACAATCAAAGAGATGCAGCTATACAGACACATTTACACACACTGACACACCCATGTAGACACACAGATGCACACACTGACACACATGCAGATACACTGACAACATACAGACACACAAAATGACAACATACAGACACACAGATACATAACCTGACAAATGCAGATACAAACACTGACACACATGCAGATACACAGACATACACTGACACACATGCAGATACACACATTGGCTACATACAGGTACAGGTATACACACTGGCACACACACAGATACATACATACTGACAACATACAGATACACACAAACAGATATACAGACACACTGTGAAAGACATACTGACACACACACAGACATATTGACTGACACACAGACATACAGACACACACAGAGACATACATACTGACACACACACAGATATACTGACACACATACTGACACACATACAGACATACTGACACACATACAGACATACATACTGACACACACAGACATACATACTGACACACACACAGACATACTGACACACACACACAGACATATTGACACACACAGACATGCTTACTGACACACACACACACACAGACATACTGACACACACACAGACATACTGACACACACACAGACAGACATACATACTGACACACACACACACACACACACACACAGAGACATACTGACACACAGACAAACATACTGGCACACACAAACAGACATACTGACACACAGACACAGACAGACACTCTTCAGTTTCCTATCTTTGCAAGAGGCTTCCTTTCCTGGGGTCCAGTGTGCTGGCTGGGGTGGTTGGGAGTTGGGGGTCTGGCTCTCTTTGCTCCCCCTCCTCACTGGATGCTGGCATAGCCTCACGCGCAGCCCGATGTCTTTAAGGTGGGAGGAAGTGATTAAGCCGTTAAGCAAGGGGCCCGGTTGCGCTGTTAGAGGGCCACAGCACTGACTGGACCCCTGCTGAAACATGCTCACCGTATGGCCCTAAGTGTATGGGCCACCATGTGGGCCCCCTTAGTGTGCGGGCATTAGGGAAATCTTTTTTTTGTAACTTTTTTTTTAATACGGGCAACGGGGCAGCTGCTTTGGGCCCCCCAGGAGTAACTGGGCCCGGGGCAGCTGACCCGTTTGCCCCGCATTAAAGATGGCCATGGTAATCAAAAGGTGATGAGGGGATATGGAGAGACATCAGAGGGGTGAGGGAGTAAAGAAATCGCTCCACATACCATGTACCCTAGGTCCAATGACCATGGGCACCCTAAATGCGTCCAAATAAATATCTAAATACAAAACATCTTCTCTCACCAAGTCACCCAATAATAAAAAAACAAAGAGAATTGGGGGCACACCCAGAACATGCATCTTGCAGGAATGGTGCTGCCTTAGCGACCAACATTAATACATAATACAGATTAAGGAACAGCACACTCATAAAAATGCATTTTCAAGTTCTATAAGGATACTTAAATCGCCTATCTCAGCAAACAAATCTGGGGATTCAGTTCCAGCATACGGCCATATTGTGTTAAGCCCACCACTACTGCACTGTGAAGGACTTAACCCAATATGGCCATATGGTGGAACTGAATCCCCAGATTAGTTTGCTGAGATAGGTGATATTAAGTAGCCTTATGTCATGAACCCAACTAGCGCTGGTGGGACCCCCATTTACCACTATGCGCCCCTGCACAGTACTCTCCTTGCCACTATAGAACCTGCTCTCCAGGGAAGAGACCAGAAAGTACCTACTTCTTACCTACCTGAATAGCATTAATTGTTT